CCGATATCAGACAGGTGATCTGTGACAAAAAGAATAAAAGCCAAGCTCCTCCTGTCATCTGCACCTGCTTCGAAACAACTAAACAGAGCCAAGAGGAGGGTCTTAGAGCTGTCAATCATACTTATGTTTGTGCAGTTCACATCCTCCTCCTTGCTCTCTGCTGCACTACAGCTGACAGTGGAGCCTGCCGTGAACACGCAAGCCAGTTAGCATGACCACCGACGGCCGTGGATAAGCAGTATGTTGTTTCTCCGTCATTTGCTGCTGTGGCATCTGGCATTCTTGAGCGTGTACACGAGGATGATTCACAGAGCTTGGCCTCTTTCTACTGCTGGTTTTAGATATCTATTTGTTTATTAATTTATTGTGTCACGTCTAAATACTCAACAATGACTGATTTTGAAATGATCCACTACTTGCATTCCTTGTTCACGTGTGTGATTTTATATTTCTATCATGTTCGAAAAAAATTCATTCATTCATTCATTACTTTAAAGGTCTATAGCAAGGATAACTTTTTCTTTTAGGTCTAACATAGTTTTATATCTAATAACTGCACTTATTAATTCGAATTAACAATATGCAGTCCCTGATTTAAACTTTACTCTAACTCCTAAGCTTAAGTTTTCAGCCTGGGATAAATGGGATGATCCATTTTTGTTTCATAGAGAAATAAACCATAAAACACAAGGCTTGTAATAGAATCATTATCTTATTCCTTATAGTTCTCCTCAGTCTGAGGAGCAGCATCTTAACATTGTCTCTTACCTTTCATGCTGCACTAGAGGTTTACAGCCCCTCTCTTCTCTGTTGTCACACTAAAAACAAACAAACAAAAAACAAACAAAAAAGAACAAACAGCAGTTAAAAGTGACTGCCTAACCCTGAAAAGAGCCAAACTTACTGATTATTTATTGTAAGAAAAGGATTTAATCATACATCATGGTAGGGATATCTTCTCCTCTGCAGCCTTGACTGACAGAAATGCCCGACTTCCCCATGGCCCCGGTTGCCAAGGAGACAAGCTGCCCTGAAGCACAACTCTCTAACTGAAGTTTGTCGTTTTTGGTTCTGAACCCGCTGACCTGTCGGACCCTTTCAGTTTTCCATAATTTCACTTTTTTTAATAGATTAAAATCAGGGATCTCATGAATTTTGAAAACACACACACACACACACACACACACACACACACACACACACACACACACACACACGCACACACGCAAACAGGTCAAGTCACATACTGGTCATGGTTTTGGACTGTGGTTTTGGACCAACGTGAACAAACGCCTGGACAAAGAGGACATGGAAACTCAAACCAGAAAGGCCTCAGATTTGAACCTAGGATCATTTTGCCGTGGTAAAACTATTCTGTCTAATTCTCTAATTGCATAATTTAAACTCTTAAAGGGAGACACACTCCCATCCACTGTTGGGGGGTCTGTGCCTTACTACAGAAACTTTGAGAATATTTTTGCCCTACGGCTTGGAAGGAAGGACTCTCTCCATTTTGCGCTCCATGCTAGATTGCAACCTCTACATCCTGTTTATTACAGCCATGCGTGGCATCAACATCTGACAAAATCTAGCTCTGCGTAGCCTGGTTGAGTCGTTCCAAACCAGTAGACAGAAACATGGATAATTATTTATTTTTTTTTTTGGCAACGTTTCTAAAGTTTGCTAAAATATTTGCAAGACAGTTGGCTGGAAGCTTAGCTGTGTTCTATCAAAAAACTTCATGAACTCAACTTTTGCCTGAAAAAAAAAAGCACTTTGGTCACCAAGTTGATTTGTTTTTACATTACACACAAATAAATGCAAACATTTTAATCTCCATTGAAGAGGATTCTGTTGTTGAGTTGTGGGTTAATGGCGTTGACCAAAAGACTGTTGGCTGGTAATGAACGAAAGATGAAAACACAAATCACTGCTTAGTGACACAAGGAAGCACTTACTGTAGCCTGCAATGAATCACAATCACTTTTACATAGCCGGGGAAATGGATTCAAATGCCATGGGATACACCTTGAAGTCATTACTAATCCATACACAAACACAGATGATTGGGATTCAGTGGTAATTGGTAGCAACTGAGCTACTAGTGCCACAGAGCCAATTATAACTTCATTAAAAACCATAAACAGAGCACCAAGCAAACCCCATGCACAGTGAGGATCTGAATAGAGAAGAAGCTGCTTAATAACACTTTGCGCCGTTTAGTCCTCGGTGAAAGAAACAAACTCCTGAGGAGGAAGCGGGCACCCAGGGACCCCATACAAATCCCATACTGTGTCCCTCCGTTGTCTTCTGTGTCACCTCCCGGAGAGACAAATGATTAATGCGACGGATGTGAAGGTTGGCATTACAATTTACCCTGCAACCTCCGGGGTGAGTCACGGGGCAAGCCGAGCGCCGGGCCTCTGCATTTTTAAAGATAAAAGTGCAGGTTCAGCAACACGGCGGATGGGTAACTTAGTTTTCATCGCCTCCGTGGCATTTTTACCACGGGGGTCCATAGTTTGAACCAGCTAAATTGAAGTAATGCAAGAAAAATCAAGTTAAAGGGAAAAAAAAAAATAAAAAAAAAATAAAATCCCAGAGGTACGTCCTGCTGTCAGTGTATTTGTCCTGCCACCAACTGGGGAATAGAGAGTCGATTATATGTTACGTTTTATGACATTTGGAGGCTGCTAAACAAAATTGTGTAAAATATCAGAAAAACGCAAAAATATTTTCATTTTACTGCCAGTTTAGTATTGGCTGTTTAAATTTACAAACATGTGGATGTCTAATGTTCTCCCTCCTCCTACATTTTAACCATAAAAAGCTTTGAACAGCCAAACACTGACTGGCAATACTTCTTCCATTCAATGCAGCTCAATTTAAACCAACTTAACTAGATCCATTTTAAGTTTTATTATGCTAAATCACAACAACTTTACATGATGAACAGATTCATGTTGTCGCAACATATGTGGTGTTTCATAATTAGTCTCTCAATATTTTGTTGTCCTGTTAATTTTCATGGTTCCATGTTTCAAGCATGTCCTGTCTGTACCCAGCAAATAGCACATCAGACAGTTGGTTTGTGGATACTTGTCTTTAGCTCAGCATAAAGTAAATGTCAAAAGCATCAGATGATCTTAACATCTCACAATTTTATGCGTAGTTTACCAGGATCTTTAAAAAGTGCAAATCAGCTCAACGAATCTGATCATTTGAGTAATAACTCTCCGTTCTGAGAATTAATTCTTGGATGGATGAATGAGTTTGTTTTATCAAGCTGAACGAGAGAAATAAATCTTGCTGGTGCTTTTTTTTCCCCCGTTTTTTCCTAGATACCCTCAGTGTCATTGGCATTCATTGAAAAGAGATCGGACAGCCCAGGGCAGTTCACGTTCCCTCCAGTGGCTGCTGTACAACACAACACCAACAACAATAACAACATCAAGCTGCTCTCGCTCTCAGAGCCCAACAAGAACGGCTACTGGGGGGCATTTCCACTTCCAAGGTGACCTCTGCTGCTTCGATGTGCCGCTGTGGGTGGAAACGTGATCGGAACAAGTCCAAAAAGACCAAAATCATCATTGTAGACGTATCAGCAACAACAGGGAGTGCATCAATGTGGTTCCCTAGATTATATTCTTCTGTACTTTTACATTTTAGAAACACTGCTTTTACATCGCTGCAGTCAATAAATCCACTACCGTTGTTTCCAAAGTAACCCATTTTTGTGCTTTAACTGTGTTTTGCTCTATTTCACTATATACACAACTTCTTCATGACATACATAGAAAATGTTTTTGGGTCCAGGTTTAAGGTTTTCCATCAAGACATTGATTTCTGAAGCGTAGAAATACGTTTTATAAATGGTAAACTGAACTGCAATCATATTAGTTTTAATGAATAGTCACCTTCACATGAATATTGTTTCCTCCACAATACAGAGCCTAAAGCCAGGAACTGAAGTTTATGAAGTATACTAAAAGAAAAAAAAAAGATTTCAGACAAGGATCAGGACGTTGAACAACTTTAAGGTGCATCACAGTTTAACGACCTTTTAATAAAAAACTAGACAATGTTTTAAATGAGCAGAGTTTGGAGCAGGGTTACTCTACACTACATGTACAATAATTCATACATTTTGCCTTGAATAAATGTCTGAACAATTTGTAAATCTTTCTTGAAGACTTTTGTGTTGTAGCCCAGGTGTTATGGATTTATGATGGTCTATAGATGATCTCCAGTAGAGATGGGGCATTTTAAATAACCTAGTATTAAATTTAAATCATAAGCATCATGGAAAATAACCCACAATATGTCAATAATCAATTTGACATATTTTCTACACTCTCGTATTGTTTTTGTGCACGTCAGACGACTCACGGGTGAAACAAAACTTTAGTTTATGAGGTTTTAACAGAAACCAAGAAAATAAATTCTATTTAACTGAGTCAAATAAAAAATAAATATATTTTACAAATAAAAAAAACATCATCTGAGTTGGTGGTGCTGTGCTAGAATATTTTCACATGAATTTAATGTGCAATACATTTACAATTTCATTGTGGAAAAGAACTTTAAATGTTTACTCAAAAAAGATCAAGGAGTGCAGAGCTGCTCCGCGTTATTATTATGGGATCAGAATGTTTCGGTTTTTAGTACCTCAATGTAAAAAAAAAAAAAAAAAAACATTACCACAATATAAATGTAGTATTTTACACCATCATGAAATTAAAACACAGTTTCTAAACCCTTCTATGGATCCACTTAGACTAGAGTGTAAGATCTAATTGTTCTGTATTTAGCACAACATGGATGTTAAACGGTTACTACACTATCAAGCAAACGGTGTCCACATGCAAATATCCGTCAACTTAAGCAGTCAAAGGTATGCGTGCAAAAATAATTTGATTAGGATAACCTGTATTGTCAGGAAAAAGTCTTAGGAAACAACTGAAGTGAAAAAGATGTAATGACAACAACGCTTCCAGGAATTCTCTTTAAAAACAATATTTTATTTTGTATTATTGGTACTGTTATATACATGGCATAAGTTGTGCTTTTTTACTATCAAGAATAAACCAGAAGGGAACACATCAGGAAATTAAAATCCAAACTTTAAACTAGGATTGAATTGTTTTTCTCTTCTTTTCCTCTTTTTTGTCTGGCGATATACTGAGAGTTCTACAAAATGAGGATAAAAGGGAAGGAAAAAAGTCAGAAAATTAAATAGATAGGTAGGCAGATTGATAATAGTTCAGAGACACGGATGGTCCGCTGAGGGTAGTGAGAATCCTCCGACTGTGATGTGCTTTTACCAACAGTAGCAAAGGCACCAGTGTATAACTTTGTTAAAAGAAAGGAAAAAAGAAAGAATGCCTCAGGGCCTTGTTCCAGTTGAGTCAACACACACACACACACACACACATATATATTCACACACACACACACAGACACAACCAACCTCCAACCACAGTTATTGTCCGTAGGTTTTTACCACACGTGAATGCTTATTATCATTTTGAACCGTCGCGGATGATGGGTGAAAGATTAGTCAGCTGGAAATCATTCAGAGTGTTGAAGAAATGCGTTTCAGTTTCCGAACCTCTCCTGCGATACGGCCACACTTTTAAAATGGGTTTCAAAATAGGGGTCAGATTTCCTGGCATCAAAGCGTGCAATGTCAAAAAAAAAAAAAAAAAGGACAAAAAAGTAATGAATGGGGCATGTAAGAAATAGGATGGAGGAAACAATATGAATATATGTCATTGAATGATTGATAAGTAAAAATGTGATAAAAGACAAGATGAGTCCTTACTGATGGAAGAGAAGTAGAGAGGGAGAGCAGATATTCTACATACAGAGGCAAGCCTAGTAAAGATCATAAAACTGAGCTCACTGAACAATGAGTGTTTGAAAAGAAGTACAGCAGCAAAAGGTTTCTAATATGATGGAAAAAACCAAGATGAAAATATTTAATTCTCATTAACGCGACTGAACGTCATCTGCACTGACATCTCTCACTGGAAGTTTCAGTGAATTACAAAAGCTTGCCTTCCCTCCCCCCCATAGCACCCATATGAACTTCAATTTAACTTGAGGTTCACATTTCTCTATCTTTTTCAGTTAATTTAAATTTATCATATACTCAAATGATGATGTTTTAGGTTTTAAAATATGCAGGAAAAAAGAAGAGGGAGGAGAGGAAAAGATTCAAAACTTTGAAGTCAAGGATTTATAGTACAACTGATTCACTTGTAAAGAGATGTTTGTTTCCCCCCCATTTTCCACAATCTGCCTTTGCTAGCAGTCAAGCGCTTTTGGATAAATATAAAACAAGGTGGACAGAGAAAAAAACCAAGGGGAGATACTGATAGATGAGTGAGAACATAAGTTCACAAGGGCTGTCAAGAGGTTAACAAGCAAAAGACATGATTCAGAAGGGGGAAAAAGAACAACGAAAGGAGATAAAAGCTATTAAAGAGTTGGAAATCCATGAGCAAAAAATTTGGCGAATGCAAGGTTTAAAGCGCAATTATTTGCATTGGTTATCCAGTAGGAAAAGTGGGGTTGGAGAACATTGTTACTATCATTTGTACACTTATGCAAAAGGTTCACGTAACAACGTCGGGTTGAAAGACTAAAAGGGACGGGCATTGGGGAAAGGCCTTTCTGGTATAGATTGGTCCATTGGGCAGCCGTTAGCTTCCCACAAGACAAAAATCATTGATTAAATTTTATTAGCTACCCATTGGGCTGAGCCACCGTGTTCACTCACGTCTGTCACCGAAGCCAACTGATATGTTAACCAGGAGCACATGTCCACCTCCCCCGGGTGGTATGTTCAGTTCACAAGTATTTCTGTTCACCCAACGAAAAAAACTAAACAAAAATCCTTTTTTTTTTTTTTTTTTTGTTTTTTTTTTCTCCTTGATAGTTTGGTCAAACAGTGAACAAACAATGCAAATCCCATGAATAATCCTCAGGACTTGTAGAGTCTCTCCAGGCTGCGAAGTGCAAAAGGAAGAGACGGCCGACAAAGGCCCAAGCCTTAGACTGCCCATTTATGTCCATGAGTGGTCTTAGTATAAAAACCATCTTTTGTGCCTTCCCAGTCATTCATCCTCATTACTCGCGTTGGCCACAGACCAATCCTTATTAATTTGATTTGTGTGCTGCTGGCACCGGCCTCACACAGGCTCTTTTCCATGCCGACTCAGTCCTTTAGCGGCCCGTTCCTTGATACCGAGCCCCACGGTTCTTGTTGATTCCGTCTCTTAGCAACCATCACCTGCCTACCATTTGCAAGTCCGTGTCACTCCATTGCCAAACATGAGTGAACTGTCCGCCATGCGTCGGCCCTCGTTGATTCCGACCCTTAGCTGTCGATGGCTTCAATCCAAACACACACGTTCCTTCGTCCTGCGGCCTGTTGGCTAGCGTCAGCTCCAAGCTTGTTAGTCCATATGTCCCGTCTCTTTACGAGCCTCTAATTTTCAACTCCAGAGACAAAAGTTACTAGTGGTTTGGCAGGTGGATCCCTCCTCAGCTGGGGACAGGTAGAGCTTGCCATTAGCGCAGGCGCAGAGCTCGTACACAGTCTGTTTGGTGTAAGTGGTGCCTGGAGGGGCCCCTTCCAGAGGGTCTATGGCACTGCCGAGGGGGATGTTGCCCAGCTTGATTGTGTTGGCATCTAGAAAGATCTGTTGAGACACAAAACAGACGACACAGAATATTTTCAGTCAACAACCATTCGGTGCGAACAAAGACATGTACGTATACATATCAACGCTGATTTAAGGTCTGCTGAGCTCACATGGACTGTTCTGTGTTCCTAAAATAACATGCAAACAAACAGCAGAGAAGAGAAAAAAAAAACAAACATTGTTCTTGGTGCAGCAGAGGAAGAATGTTGCTGTAGGCAATGACTATACTCTCAATGAGATAGACTCATAAAAACTCCAGGAGGAAATGTTTATTTAGGAATATTTTTCTTTTTATGGGGGAAGGAAAAGTAAGTAACATAGGTGAAGGGAAAGTTAGATGTAAAAAAAGATAAAAAAGTGTGTGGGGAAAGAGATGGGAGGATGAACAGAGAAATTAGAGACAGTAATGCTGTTTGGTTTCAGGCTATGTATGTTGTTGTATTGTGAGTTATGCCAGCCTAATCCTGAAGAAATGAAGCACATTCAGTGTCACCTTCAGGTATGTTACATCTTTAAAGTCTGAATGTCGTTTTTGACTTAAAATCAGTTTGTCTAATGTGCAAGAACAAAGCGTCAATGTGTTTTTGTTTATTTATTATGTCTTGCCGTTTTAAGAATCAACTGACTATATAAGACTTATATCCCAATGCTACATGAGTGACATGGTTAAGTGATTACTAGCAGAATTACTCAGAAACTGGGTGATGCTGCCATCAGTTCAACAGTTCATCTTATAGAGGCGACTTGATCTTCGTCGGTGGAGATGGAGCGCTTGCATAGCTTATCATGAGATTTTAGCATTGCTATAACTGGGTGATTTCTGCTGAATTTGGTAGTAATTTCATAAATTTAATTTCAGGGAAGAATAGATGGAACAATTTCATCTGCTCAGAGTGGCCATGTTAATGCAGCAGAGTGGAACAGTCTGGCTTGACTTCAATTAGCATTTCATGCTATAGTGTTGGATACAAAGTAAGGTAATGCTTTAGCGTTAATTTATGAAAGTCTCAGGTGTTCCTGAGCCATGCAAATGCACAGTAGATACACGGTTATAATGTCGGTCTTAGTAAATACATATATACATGCTTTTCACCCTCTCTTTGAGAAACAAGGAAAAGTTATGAAAATAGTAACTTGTCTAAATAGACAATCTGAAGTTTAGAGGGAGAGACAGAGAGAAAGAACTAAGTGGGGAACTGGAAAACATTTCCAACAGAGGAAATGAAAACGTTAACACAAAATGTCTAAACAGAAGTAATAAGGAAAGACCAATCAAAATAATAATAATAAAATAATTACCTAAATATGCAAACGTAGTCAAAACCCAGATGTCAGGTAAAGGCTGTCTTGAAAAAAATATAAGACTGTCTTTCAATGGATCATATACCCAAAAAATGAAGCTTTTGAATTTAAAATATGCTGAAAAAAACAATTTATTTCTGTTAATTTCACATCAACAGTTTCTTCCTGCCCTGCTGGGTGTAAATCCCCCATCTCCTTAATTCTGATTGGTTGGGAATCATTATTCAATCTTGATTTCTATTGACTGCCTCATTTATTTACTCCTGTGTTTGAGGAAAGTTCAGATCTTTATTTTTTTTCTTATTCTGGTGTTTCCTCACACACTTGTTTTTCTTTCTTTTTTTTTCCACCGCCATGGCTGGATAGTTTCCTCAGCAGATATTTGTATCCCCATTATTCATGTACTTCAATTTAAAAATGAGGACAGGGGAAGTATAAATGGGTGAGGAAAAATTGCTTTGAGTGCAGAAAGAAAGAGACAATGAGGAGAGAAAGAGCTGATGGAAAGATGTGAGAGGGGCGATAGAGAGGAAACGGTAACACAAACAGTTTTCTCAAAAAAAAAAGAAAAAAAAAGGATGACATAAATTAAGTTAAATGAGATAAATCTCGCACAAAAGACGTCCCATACCTACAGGGTTCGGATATCTCCAAGGATAGGAAGCAACTAATTTAACTAATGATTCCACATTGGCTGATACAGTACACATCAGTCTGTATCAACCAGGCACACACACACACACGCAATACACACACACACACGCAATACACACACACACGCAATACACACACACACACGCACACACATCTTTGTGTTGCTATCTTTGTGGGGACTTTCCATTGACTTCCGTTCATTTCTACAGCCTAAACCTTACCTTTACCCTTTTCCTAACCCTAACCATCACATACCTAGCCCTAACCCCTAACCAAAACTCAATTCATACCTTAGTCCTAACTCTGACCCCTGACCCAAAAACAGGTTTTCCCCTTGTGGGGACCAGGCTCCGGTCCCCACAAGGAGCAATTGGTCCCCACAACGTAGTATATGTCAGGAAAATCGTCCCCACAAGGTATTACAAACAAATGCACACACACACACATACACACACACACACACACACACACACACAGACACACACACACACACACACACAAAGACTTTGCATGGATGTCTGATTATTTTTCATCCATTTCTATAGCCTAACCCAAACCCTAAAACTGTACTGTGGGTCATCACCACATAGTATTTGTTGAAAAAAAAGAAAAAAAATGAACACACACGCGCGCACACACACACACACACACACACACACTAATGCTACTTACTAAAAACAAGACATTCATTTGACAGCAGCATGAAGGCAAATGAAGTCTTTAAAATAGCAACGCAACCTGGAGAACGCTACAAGAACAACACCGCCTTTATCAGGCGAAACCCTCAGACTCTGAAAAGGTCTCCTGAATGTCGCTGCCACGCTGTTGCTTACGTCTCACACATGTTGCAGCAGCTCTAACACAGCTGGCGTGAGCCCCGGCAGACAGAGACTTAAATAAATTGGTCGATAAATTGGACGATCCCAGCATCGTCTTTGTCCAGCACTGATAATCACGTGAGCGAATCGGGCTGAAAGATCAATGCTGCGTTCAAAATCTCAGCAGGTCCTGAAGAGATAAAAGTATTATTAGCTGAAGAAACAAGAAAAATACCAACTCATAATTTGTGTCAGTTACTACATATAGTGGTATTATATTCATTTATTTATGTATAAATGAATATACTTTCTTTGTAGTTACATAACTCTTGTAGCAGAAGCATGTATGTACGGCATCTGAGATGTTTCTTAAACTGCAGTGCTCATGCTAAGGATTTCTTTTTTTTTTAACTAAAAACCTGTGGAAGCCAGAGTTTTCTGGAAATTAGACAAAGTTTGAACCATTTTTTACAGCCATGTACTTTGATACCACACAACAAGAGGAGAGATAAGCAATAGCATGATGCCTTTTCATGTAAAGGGTCTAATTTAAATACACAAACCTTTAGCTGTCCTTAGATCTGTACTCAGGATTATGTGTGTCTGTGGGAAAAGTTCCTCGGCAGATTTATGTCGACGTGTGTTCACTGTAAAAACCACAAATTTGCTGCTTCTTCGTTTTTTTTTGTTGTTTTTTTTTCTTTTCCCACGGGACTGAAGTCCTGCTCAGACCCGGCATTAACAAGAATCCATGGCGGTCTCTTCACAAATGGACAGGTGTGAACCCACTCAGGACAGATTGAGAGCGCGCTCGGCTCCAATAACTCTCGCCATATTTGAAGGGGGATCTCAGGTGGTCTGCAGCACCTGCGGCTCCATTTATTATTACGCTGTGAACACATTGGAGCACGATAACCACAAACTACTCATTAGTCATAATGGTTTGCAGTGGAGAGAGTTTCCTTTTGGTGGTTTCCTTCGTCATTGCGGGAAAACGATGTTTCACACATGCACACCCCAAACTTGCAAGTTGCATTGTTCACAGAAAAACCCCTTCCTGCTGTTTTGTGTGCTAATCTCTCTGCAGCGACACTAAAGATAGAAGTACCAAACATCAGAATGGGTCCTTCTCGCTCCGGGGAGTTTTCTTTGTACCTTGCCTTGCCCCAAATGTTTAGAGCTGGGTTTTTCTTTTTTCTGTCTTGTGTCTTCAAGGACCTGTTCAGAAAAAAAAAACAAAAAAACACTGCAGCAAGTTGTAAAGGTTCGGTTTGTCTTTTGTGAATTTGCAGAGGTGTGCTGAGACTGAACTCTGTAACATCAATAAATTAGACCTTGTTGGATCTGGAACATGCTAATCCGCCCCAATCAGGATTCAACTTCAGAGTACTGAATCTGTTCATGTTGATCAACTTCATGTCTATCTGCATTTTTAAAACTTGTCTTTTCATCAGCTCATTTAAGAAATTTCATTCTAACAAATCCGTGTGTATTTGATTCCATCGGATCGCTTTCTTCACTTGTTTCAAGCAAGTGACTGTCAGAATTAAGTGGCTCTTTCTTTAAGTTTTGCTCATAAAAAAGTAAACGTTTTGCACACGTGGCTAGAAAAGAAAAATAACACTAAGCATCTCAAAATGTCAAGGTATGTTTTCAGTAGGTCCCTGCTGTTCTCTTGCCATCTTCTCTTTATCTCCCTAATAAGAGCTGCTATGACTCACTCACGTCTCTGAAAGGTGAAAGGATTCAGTCGTGTTCGGCACCAGAACTCAAATTTATTTCTAACTACCTCCTTTTTGTAGAAATAAAAGCCTAAAATTTATTTAGGTACTGCATTTGACTGGGATAAAAACGAGTTCAAACGGAAATATTCATTAATTACAAAAAAAAAAAAAAATTGTCAAAGTATCTTGAGGTCTTGTTCACGAATGAGGCAAAAACGGAGCAGGATCTGCAGTGAAGCGAGCGGTTCTCGATTTGCGTTACAAGAAGATGCTGGACGCATGCAGGTGAAATGAGATTCCTTCACAAGATTTTACGTTAAGTTTTCTTCTCTGACTCTCTGTTTAACTCAGTTTGTGGCGTCTATCTGCATGAGCTCTCTTTCTTGAAAACGGGCTCAGAGCTGATCGGTTTAGCTCACATGAAGCTACGCTAAAAAATGGCTTCTGTAGAAAGAAAGATTTTCATCAGATTGAATAATAACTAGAACTTGATTGAACCCATTTTCTTTCTTGTAAACTGAGTTGAGACAATGTGCGTTGCAGCTATATAAATGAAGTGAAACTTATTCCTTAATCAGGATGTCTTTTCCAGAATTAAATTAGTTGACTCTGTGGCACTTTTTTAAAAATTTAAAACATTCTAAAATGCTTTAAATGTGTAAGCTATGAATTTAAATAGCTAATTCATAGCTTAGAATGTCTTTTGTATGAGATTACACACATGCTAAATTGTCTTTACTTTTCTTATTTATCGTTTTAACTCTTGATGGTGATGTGTCCTGGGGGTTCAAACTTTAAATTGAAAAATTAAAGGTCCTTTTATATAAAAAAAAAAATAAAATAAAGAGCCACGTTTTATCGTAGATATGTCAGAAAACGGCAGTGAAATAATTTCAAATGTACTTGTACGTGCCTGTCAATAAAAAGGTTAGCCATGTAGATGTTAAAATGCAGGACAGACCACACAAAATGTCTTAAGCTGAACCATTTGTCCACTTGTTTTGAAGGTCGTCTGTCCAGCAGGACAACAGCCCTGGACGTACAGCCAGAACTACACTGCGATGCTGGGAACGGCAGTAAAAGCTCAGGCCCAAATACAATCGAGAATCTTTTGGCAACACTTGAAAGTTCAACTTCACAGATGCTTTCCATCCAGACAGACTGAGCTTATCCCAGATTTAAAGTGCCTTCGACTGCCAGGTTGACATTACTGTCATCAATAACCCGATTCCCGACCAAAAAAAAAATAGCAACGTCAGTGCACCGCTCTACCGCCAAAGACGCACAGTTCAGATCAGTCCAAACAAGTAAAATGATCTCATTAGAGACAGACTCAAATTCAAATCCAATTACAGAAACTCAAATCCAATCAAACTGTTAATAATTCAGTGCCGTCAATTTCAATGAAATTATGACACAGTGGAATTCAAACGGGGTGAGTACACTGCTCATTGGCGATAGAAAAAGAATTAAAAAAAAGTTAAGTTGATAAGCTGATAAAGCATATGATTTGCATTCAGTTTCCACTTCGAGCCAGTCAAGTAGGTAACTCAATAAAATAGATTTCAGTGGTCACGCTTCTCAGCTCAGAACAAACTAGATGTGACAGAAGGAGCTCTGACAGATACCTGAGGGTTGTTCAGATTAGAGGAGACAATAGGGGGTCTTTGCAGGCCAGCAGTTGAAAGACATTGTCTTATTTATAACTTTGTCAGGACACATCTCTCAGTCCAGCATCAAAACCAAAAGAGGAATCGGTAACAGCCTTATTAGACGGGGTGTGCATAAGACTGACATGACGCTGTCATAAACATGACATAACACCTGTTAGGAACATGAAGAAGTCCTTATGAGTGTTCATGACTGTCATGAAGTGTGAACTGGTAAATAATTAAACTTTTAATGCAAAGTTGTACTAAAACTGACATTAAAAGTCCATTAAAAGTGTGAACTCTGCATTAAAAGAGTCATTATTTACTGAGTGACACTTCATGACAACAGTCGTAAATATTCATGTTCATAACTGGTGTTATATTATGTTTTTGACAGTATGATGTCAGTCTTATGCACACCCCTTCAAATAAAGTGTTACTGAGAAATCTTCCTCCAACCAGTTAGGTGGGACAATATGGCAGAAAAGTATCAGAAATGCTCAAAGAATTTAAGGGACTCTCAGCAAACTGCTTAGTGTTTAATTAAAAAAAATAGTATTGGTATAAATAAAAATGTGTTTTACCAGCAAAACAACAACAAAAACCCCCCACAAACCTACATTCATATCATAAAAACACAGCGACTTAATGTCATATTTTGTGCTGTAAAACTCAGTAAAGGATGTAAACAACTTTTCCACCATAAGGTCCAATATTAAAGTCGGTAATGTCAATGCAAGCATATCTCAATTGTGCAGCTAAAATATTAATTTCCCCAACAGTGTGAGGAAGTTCTTAGCCAAACCAGACTGTAGGAGTTATTTCACTCACCCTAGATCAGGGATTAAGACGAGACCTTTCAATTATTTCAGTCGCAGAGGTGATTTATTCCAAGAGGTTTGCCTGTTTAAGGTCAAGCTCACCATCATACTTTGTAAATCGGTGAACTTTGGTTTTAATTCCATTACTGCTAATGAGCATTTAGCATTAACTTGAGAATTTTGTAATTTGGATCTACGGTTAATTCAGTCTCTGAGAAATCTGTAGGACAAAATTTAACTTCTTCTTCTTTTAAAAAAAAATAAAAAAATGTCTTAACATGTACTCCCAAGAAAAGAGTGTTGTCTTTGCATGTTTCAGATGTTTATCTGGAAAGTATTCACAAAACTTTACTCTTTCAACATTTTGTTATGTTACATCTTTATTCCAAATGGTTGTAAATTAATCTCTTTGCTAAAAACTTCCACACGATTGCCCTATTATGACGACGTGGAACATTTTGAATATTTTGCTAATTTATTAAAAATGGAATAGCAAAAAAAAAAAAAGACTTTCACGCAAGTATTCACAACCAGATGATTCAGTGTTAACCTGAGTGAACTGAGTAAAATGGCACAACAATACCTCAAGTTGTATGTTGGAACTTGTTGGTTTTTCCAAGTAAATGAAAGTCATAAGTAATTTAGCATCTCAGGCAACATATCTTCTTAATATAGATGATTTACGAAGTCTGATAGGGCCTCTTAATTCTTAGTTCTAAGTTACTAAACAGGAAAATAATGTACCAAAAGTAAAAGGTCGTCATGTACGTCCAAGGTTTTCAAACCCCAGCTGGTCCCTTCTTCAAAGAGACATTGGCTATTTTTTTTGTCCACTGCAAAAATGTTCCTCTTGCTAATCATAGGAACTCCCAGTGAACATGAAATCATTTTGAACTTCAGCCTTAAGGAGGGCAAACTTAATATTCATTCCATATCAGTAAAGTTAAACCAATCATTTGCTTTAGCCGGGCAACTTTTGAAAATCTCCTTTTTCAAATTACTTACACTCTAAATCCGGCGGTATTGTATGTGTCACTCATATGCGAATACAAATGTGGGAGTCCGCACGAGGGCCTGGAAATGTGCATAAACCGTGAATTTACGTCTAAGCCCATCTTCCTCTAACACCAGTTTAGCAAGCATGTGCCTCTGGCAGCAAGGAAATGGAAAACATGCAGAGAGCCGCAATTATGAAGGGTCAAAGCATTTTTCATGGATGATTTCCTTTGGTACAGCCATGAACAGCAAGGGAGGGAGATGAGTGACTTCTCAGAAAGTAGGGGCGGCAGCTCTGAAAGAAATAGCGCTTTTCTGGTATGAAAGGAGAAAGGAAGTGGAAGTAGGAAGTAAGCGAAGGACGTGAAGGGGAGAAAGAAGAGCGCCGGCCCCTCTGCTCTCACTTGTAGCAAAGATACACATTACATTTAAGTTGTCAAATTTAGGCTGGTAACACCCGGCTGCGCGGCTGAAATACACGTGGGGGAAATTCTGTTGCTTTCACCACAAAACTGAATCTTTTACCCTTCGGCTTCTTTCGCGCCAGTGTTTAGAACTTTTTTCTTCATGTCTTTCCTTTAACATCCTGTGAAGCACCTTGAATCACTTTGTGCGTGAAAACCAAGAATCACCTAGGTTTTTCTTTAGAATAGGAACGCACGAAACAGAAAAAGGCCAGGCTATATACATTTCTAAGGAATTGCTTGTTACAAAATAAATGGAGCTAAATGAAAAGTGACAAAGACAAAGGTAGAGGAAGTCAGGACAGGATTTCATGAACTCTTCCAGCTAAGCTGTCCAGGTTGATGGTGGAAAAGTTTCAAATTTTAACTGGTTCACGCAAAAATGAAAATGCTTATATGCATGTGGTTGATAAAAGTTATTGCACAGAGATCTTTCTGATACGTTTGTCGTTCTTCTCAGCAAAACAAACAAATAAAAATGATAGAGATGCAGCCATGAATTTGGATGATGACTAGCTCACTAGCTGACTAGCAGTGAGATCATTCTTCAGTGAGGGATGAAGACTCAGTGATCTATTTTCAGCATCTCTGCGGCGTTAGAAGTTTCTAGAAAGAAATATGTTTTTTTTTTTCCTTCCTTTGGACACTATAATGAGGAGTTAAATGTTAGCAGACAACAGGAAAGAAAACATTTTACTGGAAAGTCGCTTTGTTTCATCTCTTTCATGATTCCAGTTGTATTTGTCACAGAACATGCTGGCTGAGGAAACAATGGTAACCTTTAAGATATGATATGCCAAAGTTAAAGGTCAATCATTACTTTGTAAAAAAAAAGATCGTGCTAATCATGCTCCCTTTCCAAATGATGCTAATAACTCATGAAAAGATGCAGAAAAACAGATTAAAATGGCAATTTTAACAGATTTATGTTGTTTTATAATGCTTGTGAAATCCAGTCTGACTGCAGAGTTGTGTCTCATGTACATGGTGTGACAATGACTCTGGCAAATGTATCAATAATTAATGACGATGCTGAAAGCTCCTGTATATTTACTATAGATTCCTGAACAATTCTAGGATCTAATACTTAACAGTAAATCAATGTTTTCCTCACAAATATGAAGCTTGACACTGATGCTTTTTTATATTTTTGAAAGAAAATGGAGAAAACATATTTGGTGCACATTATATTTTCTTTTTTTTGAAGGTTTCAGTACTCTAGGGTTAGGGATATAGACGGATTTAACAATACAGCAAAAATAGACAGCCGTGTAACTCTCTTTGATGTTTAGATATATTTGGTTTTACTTCATTAGGAAGCCTCCAGGCTTTCAGCAAAATAGAAAAACAGCATTTTGTTGTTAATTATTACTAACAGACATGTCAGAGTCAACTAAAGCTGTTGCCATGTGGTTGAGTCACAAAATCTCTGATCGCCGTCTTTAATTTTTGCACTTTTGATCTACCGCAGCCGATTCACCGCCGTTATCCTTCGTTGCCAAGGAGGAGCCGGAGAACACAAAACTGCCAAAACGTGTGTTACTTAGATAAATTAATTCCCGTAGACTGATTTTGTGAGAGTCTATGATGATGAATATCCTGAACTGCGCTGACTATTTTTCAGCCTTAATAACAGACAGGCAGACGGAGAAAAACCACAGACGCTGGTAGTGATAGCCTAATGGAAAGCCTCCCGACTTGACCTTCATCTCGGCATCTCCCATCATCTTAAGTACATGCTGGCAGCCAGTTTTTGTTGGCTTGTTTATTACGGTAGGTAACTTGCATCTCGTCTGCAAAAAAATGCCCTGTCAGCAGTGTGAGTTTCCCTCATCGCTTCCAGACTTGTTGATCTCTCTAAAGCCTCCAAGACTTTTACTGAGACTCCTGCTGAGTCTCCAAGAGTTTCCAAACCTGCATAGCTCTATTTCAAAGTTTTGCTCTCACCTGCTGAAATGCTGAGTGAAAATATGCCTGGTGTTTTTATTTTTTACATTTAGGCTCACCTTCTGGAGTCAGAAAAACTAAGGAAAAAAAAGTTGTCGTTTTGCTTTTCGTGTTTAGTTTCAGGTCTGATAGGAGGCGATGGCGGTGAATTGGAGGGGTCGGGGTCGTAACCGGCGCTTTATTGGCAGGGATTTTTGAAAGGACTCTTTTTGTTTTACAAATATCTGAGAGCAAAAAATGAAAATTCACAAACGGCTGAGTGACAGGTGGAAAGGTCAAGTTAAAGCACGGGTCATTTGCACCTCTGCAATCTGAGTGCAGGGAGACGGATCTCAGGGAGGCAGTGAGCCTTTATGCAGCCAGGTATTTATGAACGTGAGGGCAGAGGGGAAAGAGTTTAGTTCTTGAAAATGTGAACAAGGAAACCTGCTCCATTTTTAAATGTGTAACCAGGGAGAATGAAACATCCATATATGTAATTCCTCCCAACCAAATAGTTGATTTGTCCCCCAATCATCTTCACATGATTTGTAAACCTAATCCTAATTACTCAACGCCTTTTTAAATTGTTTACCATTTGTTACATCTCTTCTTCATAGAATATATGAACATTGACCTTTCACAATTATTATTCACATAATTATTATTCACATGCACCAGTCACACTTGTATATATGCATATGTATTTAAAGTTTTTCAGTATTTTTTTCTGTGTACTCCGACACCAAAGCAACAGTTCGCTGTCATGTCTTTGTTCATTGACGATGAAGCAAGTCTAACTCTAAATATGATTCTGGACAGCAGATATAACAGTTTCACACACACACACGCACAAAAGAAAACTTTATTTACAGTAACTGAGCTAAATATCTCAGGTTTTCCGACTGATCTTCAAAGAGATTTTTCCTAGTCCTTAAACCAGTGGTGTCCAAAGTCGGTCCTGGAGGGCCGGCATCCTGCATGTTCTAGTTCTCTCCCTGGTTTAACGCACCTGGATCAAATGATGGCTCATTAAAAGGTCAAAGAGGAACATTGACAAGCTGAAAAGGTTGTTTCTACCACCAGGGAGAGAACTAAAACGAGCAGGATGCCGGCCCTCAAGGACCGACTTTGGACACCCCTGCCTTAAACATATGACTTACAGATGCAAACTCTGCTTTGTGTCCTCAGTTGATCAAGTACAAATACTAGATATAAAAGTAAAAAAAAATCTAAGCATCACAAAAAAAATGATAGAAGAAAACATTAAAAGGCCTTAAAAACATGTAGGAACTATTGATGAAAACCTCATTAAAAATATGAGAAGAAATTGAGCCTCTTGGGAGCAAAATATTAAAAATGAAAGGTTTATAACATATAAAAATCTACATTACCAGAATATCTCTATTAAATCAGAAAATGTGAAAGCACCATGATGCTGAATTATTAGTTTCTCACCCTAACAGAATCCCAAAGCGGCTGATTTTATGCAATCATAACAAACTCCTGGAACTTTGATGTTTGTTAGTCGACATGTGTCAGACTGCTTCTGATCCTCGCATCTCTCACGAAGAAAAACTTAACGACTACTTTTTAGAGGACTGCCAGGAACTAAAACAGACAAGAAAAGGTTGAGTTTAAAATCTTTAGCCGAAACGTTGAAAGAATCGGGGAGTGAAAAAAGAAAAAAGAGAAAGGTATAGAGAAGCATAATGGAGGGCTAAAGGACAATAACAAAAGTATCTCAGCACACAACTCCCTGAATTGTGCCCACACAGTTCATGACTGTCTCTCCATGGCTAACCTTCCCTCCCTTTTTGCCTTTTTTTTTCTTTTCTTGTTGCCACATAGAATACACACAGACAGGTGGGTGGTGGCAAAGCTATCTGAGTGTATTACACAGACCATTAGCCTGGTTGAATGGACACAAGCAGGAATGGAAGCTGACAAAGGATGAAATGACTGAGGCTGAAGAGACACTGAACGAGTTTTAAAACGCAAACAAAAAGGAACCAAGAGAAAGAAAACTGCCAACAGTACTGTACTGTGTCAGCACAGCGGCTGTATGCAAACATATTTGTGGAAACATGCATCTGCAGCAGAAAAGAAAAGTACAGTTTACAAAGGCGCAAGCTTGGTGATCAGAATCCTTGGTAAAAATACCACAGTGTTACGTGATCAAAGTATTTACACAAAACACAGAGTGGCCCGAGGTTCTGGAGAGGAGGATCCGTGGGATAGAAGAACCTCGGAGTCAGGAAAAGTAGTGTGGTCTAGGTCCTGGTCGTGAAACACTGGGCCCTCAGCAGGGTCCTGGAGGGTGATGGGCGTTCGCCCAACCAGTCTACGTGTCTTTTGTGGACTTGTAGAAGGCGTTTGACCGTGTCCCTCAGGGAATGCTGTGGTGGGGTACTCTGGGAGCACAGAGTACCAGGCTCTTTGATCCGGGCTGTCGGATCCCTGTACAAATGGTGTCAGAGTCTGGTCCGCTTTGCAATAAGTCCAACTCGTTGGCGGTGATAGTTGGACTCTGCCAAGGCTGCCCTTCGTCACCGATCCTGTTCCTAATTTTATGAACAGAATTTATAAGTGAAGCCAAGGTGTTGAGGGGATCCATTTGGTGGCCTTAGGATTGCGTCTCTGCTTTTTGCATCAGGTCGTAGATCGCAACCTGACGACGGTATCGGGTCGTGATCTACAGCTTCCACCGGAGCAGTTCTCAGCCGAGCATGAAGCAGCCGGGATGAGAATCAGTGCCTCTATATTTGAGACCGTGGTCTTGAGCCGGAAAACCTTCTTTGGGTCAGGAAAGAGGTCCCGATTCAAGCGGAGGAGTATCCTGGGAAAAATGGAGTCAGAGATAGATTGGCAGGTTGGTGATGCAGATGCTCTTGATTTATTGGTCGATCTATGTTCTTACCCTCATCTATAGTCATGAGCTTTGGGTCGTCACTGAAAAAACGAGATCGCAGATATAAGCAGCCAAAATGAGTTTTCCCTGCAGGGTGTCTGGAGGGACAATGTTTCTCAGCTGGTCTGGGAACGGCTAAGGAACTGCCTGGGGAGAGGGAAGTCTAGGCCTCCCTGCTTAAGCTGCTGCCACCGCAATGCGGCAATGTGGCCCAGGTGTTAGCATAAGAGTAATTAGTCGTTCCTTTAGTTTCTTACGACTCTCCATGTTTGACAAAGCATTGGATAAATAGGCAATGCACTGCAGAAGCAGGTATTAAGACACTCCTGAATGCCACAAGTAAATCGAAGATTTCTTAAAAAATGAATGAATGGGATTACACTGAAGAACATTTCCACCATGTCATCTCAAGCATTTATTAACTCTTAGACTATAAAATGATGATTGTGTTATTTTAACAAAGGACACAAGAACTGTATTGCAGTAGATGTTGTTTGTTTTAAACAGTAGTGACTGAAATATTATTCAAAACCAATGAAAATAAGACCCAGAAAAATCTCCCAGACTGTAAGAGTCTGAGACAGAGTTGCATCAGATTGACAGGATCACAAATGCACCCCTGTCTGGCAAAGCCACCGCAGGGAGTGTGAAGTATAGGCTAATAACTTTTCTGACATGAATCGCACCTTTTTAAAAAAAAATAAAAATCCTCCACATCACTTAGCCACTGGCAGGTATCTGCTTAATCTGTTCTCGCACCCATAGACACGAACACATAGATGCAGTCTCTTAAGTGGAGCTGAATGATGAAAACAAGACTTAGAAGTAAACAGAAATCCTCTGGAGATTGAAAAAAAAAGTAGTGGCAGCTGTTGGAGTGCACTTTGAGTTCACACTGGTTCATGTTTTTGTGATGGCCGTGCATATATGCACTCATTTCAGGGAACTTATTTCTGTCGTGTGTGCAGGACGGGGCGGTTTGTACTCACAAAACTGTATGTAGTTATTCTTTGACTTGAATTTGAGTGCTTTGTGTAATTTGTATGTTCTGCATTATTGTGTCTGGGCGCCCATTGGCTCTTACGACAGGGAGTTACGTTCTGCCAACATTTTTATTTACTCATCATTCTTGCCTTACCCGCAGGTAAAAAAACAAGCAGGAGGAGAAAAAAGCCGGTCCCTGTATAGCACCCTGTAACGCCTCCAGGCTATGACATTTTAACAAACCCCAGGACTGTGTAAACAGACAACAAAACTTGAATGTAGCCAAACTTTTATGAAAACTTCCTGTAATTAATCCCCTTTCTGCTCATAGAGGTTGACACCAAAATGAAGTGAGGAAATATTAATAATTCATTTGCAAACTTTAATGTGTATTTGCATGCAAACAAATTTAAGGCATCATTCATGAGAGAAATATACGTCAGTTTGACATCATTTTAGGACACCTTAAGGTCAATAAAAGGCAGCTGGATTCTAGAAATATTTGCAAAAAACAACTGAATATGGTGCTCATTGCCTAGTGTGACGCAGCCTTTATGGTACCACAAAGGACTTCTGCTAGTCAATCTTCAAAAAACGTATATTCTCTAATACTTCTCTTGTTCCTTAAAAGACATTACATCTCATCCAAATGAGAATATATGCAAGCGATTTTGAATGTTTATTACTGGAGCTGCCTTTTTTCAGAAAATGGAAGAAAGTCTCGCTTTGTTAAAAACAAACTCATCCAAATGGCATTTTCAGCACCAAACAGATGAGGGGGCTCAACAGCCTTCGCTCCTCTACATCAGCAATTTTACATCAATTCCCAATTTGGGAACATGTGACCAAAACAACTCCCATGGCATCGCTAGGGAATGCTTGGATCATCAAACGACAACAATCCAAACGTAAAACTGAACTGTGTCCTCAATGGCCCCATTAGTGTGTGTTTTGATTACATCCTATAAGCCTGTTCCCACCCGGGTTTTAACTAAAGAAGCCTTTCGAATGTGAGGTGAAACATCTTCAAGAAACAACAGAAATCCGACTGTATTTTATTTGATGACTTGGGATGTTTCACTTGTCTGGTCGATGGTGAATTGGCGCATATTTTCAAATGGTCTCTTCTTTGTACAGAAAACAAACCCAAACATTTATTTTAAAAACAAAAAGATTAAAGGCATGACACTGTTGCTTCACTGGACAAAGACCTTTTATTGTCAAGACGAAACTGTTATTAGACAAAAATATACTGTACATGTTTAAACATTCAACTGAAATTTACTTGCAAGAGAGCTCAACAAATATTCAGGATGCAAGATATTTGCTCATTTTCCTTAACGGTTTAGTAGATAGGGAATATGGTCAGGACTTTGATTATTAGTTATTAACAGTTGTTTTAACTCGAAACATTTCTTAGTACAATTAAATGTATTTCTTTATATGCAATGGTTCTGGCTGGAATCTTTGTATTTGCGTGTTTCTGGTACGGCCGTAATTCGGACGCACAATGATGTCTGCAAACAATAAAGCCGCTTCACTTGGACTGATGGGTGTTAATTTTAAGGCTGTATAAATAAATTGATTCGGCGATATATATTGATATTTTCTACCCTTAGAAAGTATTGATTTTTCATCCACGAGTATCAATCCGTTAAACAATAGGGTTCCATAGCCTTATAGCTCTTCTAAAGTCTAGCTTGTAACGGCGTAGCAGCAAGACTCCGCCTCCCTCAGTCTCACTTTTAACTCGAGCTTAAAGTGCACATTATAAACTACACACCAGTTTTTAAATTGTGTTAAAAGGCCAAGCACAACCGGAGTTATGCTAAAATTAGTAAACCATATTTTTCCGAATGTCAGAGAAATGTCAAAAGCCCTGCCATTCCCCGGCTTTTCCGATTATGTGAGAGGGAATGAGCTTCCAAACGTACAAAACGAAACGAAACATTAGATTCCTGTGTTTTTGGAAATGTAAAATCTTCAATAAATAACGATGGGCTGTATTTTGTTGCTGAGGAACGAAGTAAAGTTGCGCAAGTAACCGTGAAAGAGAAGCGGAACGGAGAAGCGGAAAGGAGTAGCGGCGCGAACGGAGCAGCTGCAAAAGCAGTGAAATCGCGAAATTAATGCAAATTTTGACTGGTAGCATTCACTTCGTAATTAGTTTTTAGCTTAGCGGTTTCTGTTCTGTATATAAAGGATTACCTGAAGAATGAACATGGGTTGATAACATCCGAAGCGGGCGCGCAGCGGCGCTGTGTTTTGAGCAGGAAGACAAAGAGGAAAAACCCCCAGCCGGAATCCGCGGCGCAGTGAGGATTTCCATGATAACAATGGCTGATCGATCATTCTTATTAGCAACAAAGTATCAGAGACTGAGAGTACTATGAGATGCTGGCAGTCTGAGAGGCAGCTACTCAGAGATCCAAGCAGGGGAACAGCGGCGCTGCGTAGCTGCAGGGAGTCGATCACTACGGGGTGAGGCGGAGCCACGACTTTAGCAGTTAGAAGAAAGCAGCTTACAGCCACGGCTAACTCCGGGAGCCAAGGTAGAAAAGCCTTTTTCCCCATAGTCCAAAAAACTGCATTTGTGGCTGCCTTTTTTCTCCAAAATGCAGCCACAGTGTCCAAAAGAAAAAACCATAAGTGCAATCATTTGCATATTGAGACTCTACAGAGGCTGATAATCTCCCCACTCTACTCCTGGATTACCGTTTAAACTTTTGAATTTTATGTCAAATCCACATGAATTAAATGACAGAAACTAATTCTCTCACTGCGTTTTTGACTCATTTTGTCCAGCTGCAGACTGTTAGACTGTCCAATCAGAGTCAGGTATTGTGTAGTTGGTGCTTTTAATCAGTTTTCAGTCTAAATTCAAGTCTATGGAACACAAAATGTCACTAAAATCACTCTGTCCTTCTAAAATCTTTCAGAAAATCGTAAAAATGCACTGAATCGTAGCGAATTGTATCGCTCAACAAATATCGTGATACATATCGTATCGTGACCAGAATATCGTATATAATATCGTATCGTGAAATTATTGTATCGCTACACCCCTAGT